GAGATATAGGTTGTCACCCTGCACAGTACCTCTTGTAGGTGTTTGATTACAAGTATCTAGTGATGATGTTTTGCATATCTCTATTGCCACATCGTTCCATGGACTATCAGTGCTCTTTACAACTGGAAATAGAGTCATTAGTGTCTTTAAATTAGAAAGCCTTCTAGAAGCCCCAGGCTAATTCAGAAAAATTCATCTTTTTTGTTTTTGTTTTTAAATTTATCTTTTATGTTTTTTTTAATTGATTTTTTTAGAGAGAGAGGAAAAGAGAGAGAGACACATGGATGTGAGAGAGAAACATCTATCAGCTGCCTCCTGCACACCCCCTACTGGGGAATCCAGCCTGCAATGTGGAAATCAAACCAGGACCTCTCAGTCCATGGGAGGATGCTCAATCCACTGAGCTACACCAGCTGGGCCAGAAAACTCATCTTTAAGATTCTGTTTCTCTAGAACCACTCTCAGTACCAAAATCTGTATTAGTGTTCTCCAGAAAGACGGAACCAACAGGATGTATAAGGGTATATGTATAAATACAGAGACTTAGGTCTCTCTTATGTCAGAGACTCATGTAACTGTGGAGGCTTGGCAACTCCAAAATCTGATGGTAGGCTGGCAACTGAAGACCTACAAAAGAGTTGCAGTGTGTCCAAAGTCTGCTGGAAAAACTTGCCCAGTGGAGGTAAGTCTTTGTCCTATTAAGGCCTTTTACTCATTGACTGAGGCTCACCTGCATTATGCAGAATAATCTGCTTCATTCAAAGCCCCATAATTTAAATGTTAACCTTATTCAAAAAACACCTTCACAGAAACATCCAGAATAACATTTGACCAAATATCTGGGCCCCATGGCTCAGCCAAGATGACGCATAAATTAATCATCTCATTGTCTTAACCTCATCCACAAAATGAAGATATTAGATGGTGTGATACATTTTAGGACCCTTCATGCTGAAAAAATTTTATATTTTTATAATTTCAGTTCTTATCCCTGTAGTATTTTGTTTTGAACAAACAAACCCATGGTCTTCCTTTTGGTCTCTTGAGATGCCAAGCGTTTTACTGTATGGTTATAGAAAATCAAGTTCTCTGAAATTTTCTGGTCTGTTTGAACCATGTTGGCAACCACACACATGATGTTTGTTTTGACTTCCTAAGACCCTAAGAGACCTTTTGACCACAGGTATGAAGCCTGCATGTTTTTTCTCCCCGGAAATGGGACCAATGCAATAGGAACCAGATTCTCAGCACTACCATCAAACTGCCCACGAAGGGGCCTACAGTAGCATGGCAGTTCCCTAGCAGTGCAGTCAAGCAAAGGGCTGAAGAATCATTAACATAAACCTCCTCCATGTTCCTGTGTCTTTGCCTTTCAATGCACTATTGACCTCTCTTCTAGTCTTTTTCTGTTCAATCCTGGTCTCGGTTTGGCCTCCTGTTCTATAGATGTCCTTTCACTATCCCAACTTTCGGCCTGTAATTTTCCACCCTTTGGCATTTTCTCCCTTGAGATGCTTATGTAACTATTTACTTTGGTGACTTATTCCATCAGCTGCTCTGTGGACAAGATGATTTTTTTACTCTTCTTTACGTCCTAGGACTTTTGAACTCATAATTTGGGTTTTCATTGCCTTTTAAAGACATTTGTGTCAATCATTTGTTAATAAAATGTTATATTTTTCTACCTATTAGTTACTTTCCTTGTGAGAATTTATACTGCGTAAAAATGCCATTTGTCCTCAGGAAACTCGTTTTCCTCTCCAGCTGAAGTTTACTACTCTGAAAATGGGACACGTTAGACTTTATGCCCCTTAAGTTGCCTCTAGCCCTGAAGCTCTTTGGCAGTGTTGGTAAATGATTTGAGGTTTAGCAGTCATTGCGGAAGTAGTCAGTACACCTGAAAGTTGGTAAATGACTTCCTCTGTCACTTTCATAGTGAGGTGTGTGTCCTGTTTCTCATGTGATAATCGTCCAATATCCTTGGATTTGTGGGGGGGTTTATTCTACATATTTGCATTTTTTTTTTCTTTTTCACTTATTTTGAAACTTTTTCTTTTTCCTTCTTTATAATTTGAGTGGAATTTTTCTTGTTTCCATACAGTTTATAGGAACCAGATGTAAAACATTCTTTCTACAGGATCTCAATGCACACTAAAGGATACATGAGACTCCAAGAGCATTGTAATTCATTACCGCAGCATTCCTTAGACCAATGGTCTCTGAAGGGAGTGTCAATCAGTACCAGGGTGTTTGCAAAATATTATTGGAGTGCAGAAAGAAATATTCATACCTCTATTACAGTTTTAAACTAATCAATTTTAAACTAATCTCATCCTTTAAAATTATCTTTGTTTTATATTTCATAAGGTCTATATTAATATAGTAGTAGATATTTAGAGAATACCCTGTCTTTATCTATGTCTATGGACAATGTACTTGCTCAAAAGTTTTTTACTGTTTGAGATGTGTGATTAAAGGATTTGGAGGTGAAACATTTGCTCCTTCATGTGTACAATTATTAGGATCTTGTATTAGGGTTCCTTGGTTGTAAGCAACAGAAACTAATTGACTGACTGAGGCAAGAATTAAAAACAACACTGGTTGGCTTACAAAGTCAAGGGAGAAGACGGACCATCCAACCTCTTAAGATGATAGTTATGGCAGCTTTGGACCTCACATGCAGCATCGCCTGCCACTGGTTGACTCCGCTCTAGTTACCTCCCTCCGTGAGTGTCTCCACTCAAAATTCACAATTCTAAGAAAGAGAGTCTAAATGGCCTACCTTGAGTCACATGCTGTACCCCTAAAAATCTTTTCTCAGAATCCTTTGATAAATATTTTCTCTGAAATATTTCCTGCCATCTGTGTCTATAAATGCAGATGCCAAGACATGAATGAATGCCTGCTGAAAAATGGCAATTATGATGATATAATTTTCACACTCAGAAAGAGAAAAAATATATCACATGATTAATCTAAAATGTTATTTTTCTACCAGAAGCAATACTTCTGGTTTTTTTACTTGGTTGTGTTTTTTATTTTCTTCCCTTTCCCTTTCAATTACATGACATTTGAATTTTTGAACTATTTTTATGAAATTGAAACAAAATATTCACCAAGAGTCAAATATAATTTAAATTATTTCATAAATAATTAGAAAACCTTAGATTATATTTTAGTACATTTTGAATCAATTTTAAACTAAATAGCTTTTAAAATCCTTTTTTTTCCTCTTACATAAATAACTGTATATTGATCACTACTGTGAAATTCAAGCTTAATCACTTCTGCCTTTAATTTATAGAAAAAGACAAGTTAAAATGTTTATATTTAAATTTAATTTTTTTGAAAGGTGGAATGCCTGGAGTAGAGGTAGAGGATGTGTTTTGGAAAAATGTGATATTAAGTGTTGATTCCCTTTCTTCAGATGGTCTGTTAGAAAATATTTAAGGGAGTCGTGCAGGTGGCAACCACTCTATGTGTCCCTTTCACATTGGTTTCTCTCTCTCTCTCTTTCTCTCCCCCTCTCCCACTCTATCTGAACAAAAAATGGAAAAATGTCCTCGGGTGAGGATAAAAGAATATATCTATATTTAAGAGAGACCCTTCAAGCACAGGCTAGAAAATCTCTTTTGCATTTGTAACAAGATTTAGTGAGGATATTTTTTTATGTGGAATAAACTTTATAGGAAAAATTTCAAAGTCATAGATAAAGATTCTGTTTAGGACAGGATTTACCATAGATGGAGTAAGTCATTAAGGGATACAATTAAAGTAGAACCAAAACGTACCACCTGCTCCTCTGCTCAAGTATATTTCCACCAGTGAAATGCCCATTGGGCTGAATTTCATGTAAATGTCAAATGCCATCTTACAGGAATCAGATAATAGCCAATTTAAAATTATATTTGTGCTTTTGTTCTACTTGACTTAAAAGATAAACATGCAGAGTCTAAAGCAAATGTGACACTTTTCAAGACAGGGCAGTCAGGGAGTGGAAGCCATGACTTGGGTGTAACCCATATAGTCCGGAGAAGGTCAAGGGAAGCAGCACTGGACAGCCGAAGGCACCTAACCAGGCCCCCGTGTGAAAAGCGGGAGTGTGAAAGTGACAAGAGACTTTCCTCCTAATTTTCTTAAAGCTCAGTTATGATTATGTCTAACCAGGTGGAATTAATGGGATGACGTGATTGAAATATTTGGTTGTACCTCTTCACTGTAGTGCTTTGGTCTATATTCTCTCTCAAGGAAAAGAACAGATTCTGTTTATGGTGCTGGTTTAAATAGATGTTGTTAATTTGAAACTTCCAGTCACCCACTATGTGAATACCACCATAAAATATTCTCATATTCCCCAGAATTTGATAGTGGGAAGAGGGGAGGGAAAGGGTAGGAAACATACCATTCAAATAACAATTACATGCCAAAATAAGTAATACAGAAAAATCGTTAAAAATGTAGGTCAAAAGAAATAGAGATTAGTGTGATCAAAAGCAGATTAAACGTCAGCATGGGGGACCTAAAACTTGAAATGGGGCTTTGAGGATGTATAGGTTTTGTCCTGGCCAGTGTTGCTCAGTGGTTAGAGCGTCGGCCTGCAGTTCAGAGAGACCTGGGTTCGGTTCCCGCTCAGGGCTCATACCTCGGTTGCAGTTTGTCCCCGGCCCTGGTTGGGTCATGCGGGTGGCAGCCACTCGATGTGCCCCTTTCACATCGATGTTTCTCTCTCTCTCTCTTCTTCCCACTGTATCTGAACAAAAAATGGAAAAATGTCCTCGGATGAGGATAAAAAAAAAGGATAAAAGGATGCATAGCTTTGGATATGAGAAATAGGTATTTTGGCTATGCAGAAATCCTGACTCAGGATACTTGAATGTGAAGTTCAAGTCCAGTGGCAGCTTAAGTGAACAGAATTTTAATATTCATTTGTTATCACTTTTACTGAAATCTGTTTACTTGAGGAATTAATACCAAAAGTAAGTGTTGTCTCTTCCTTCCAGGTGTGTCTGCACAGCTCACCGGCACCTGGCACCGTCGGAACACCTCCGTAGGAACACCATTTTGGATGGCTCCTGAGGTCAGATAGAGTTTTAAGGGAGACAAATGTAATATTTGATACTTTTTGACTTTCCTTTTCATGAGTACTTTATCTCCATATGTGTTTTTGGAATATTTCTAGAAGGAAATGTCAGTTGTGTTGTTTTTATGTGAGGTTTTTGTGTGTTAAGGAGGAACAGGGGAGGTGCTCCATGAATGGGTTGTGAATGAATATAGGAGCAAATGAAGCCTTGGATGAATGAGTGAATCAGAGGAGGTACGGAGAAATTGCTTGCAGCCTTAATTTTTCATTAAATTTACTTTTAATTGCTTAGCATATGTCGATATTAATGACATTTAGATTCTATTTTTAACTTAGAAATATTATGAAAACCCCTAGCCTTCATTTAAGGTCAGATTCAGGTCTGTTAACCTATATTGAGTTGCTCTGCCTGGGGACTGAGTTCAGCTGTGGTAGATTCTTGTCATTATTAGCACTGGGAAGTTGTAGAGAAACTGTCAACATAGTTGAGGAAAAGTGTGCTAGTGTTCCATCTACTCTCCACAGTCACTGTTAATGCCTCTAATCTTTTTAATTGTGTTTATCAGAAAATAACACTTATGTTTGAAAACTCTCTCTGCAGCCATTGGGAAAAGCTCTGTTATTTATCTACAATTTTCTAAGGAATATAGGGAGGAAAAGTAATTCAAATACTACATTAACATTGCAAAATTTTAGAATTAAATTTGTTTGAGGATTAAATCCTGCTGTACTGTCTCTGTTTTAATACTAATTCAATTATTAATTGCAAAAAAAAACCCAGTTTAATAGTAAACATAATAATAAAGCATGGAGAAGAGAGAAATTACCTTAAGAAACTTAAAAACTCACGTGGATTAAAAAACTTTTTAACAGGGAGTACATCTTAGAATAAAAATAAAAAGAATAGTCATATAAGAAACAAAATTGAATAAGAAAATCTCAAATGAGAGATTTTACAGACTTTGTTCTCATATATTGCTAGTTTTAAAAGCTTATGAAACAGACTCTCAAACCTCAGAGGGAAGGGGGAAGGGAAGAGGTAAACCAGAGAATTTATGTGCAGATATGCGTAACCAGCAGACACAGACAACAGTGTGGTGAAGGTTGAACGTGGAGGAGGGGGGTGGGGAAGATGAGGTCAAAGGGGGATAAAAGGGGATATATATAATACTTTCAACAATAGCAATATATTTTTTAAAAAGCTCAAGAAAAAATTTTAAAACAAATTAAAAATAGCTATAATATCAAACATTGCATTTTATTCACATATATTAATGATTAATATAATAAATACTGTAATATGTAATCGTATTATCATATAGTTAATAAATATTTGATGGTCTAGTTTTATATTTTTATATATTAATTTATAGTAACAAAGCCATTATTATATGTTTAAGTTTGCCCTTTAGTAAAATCAGTTTGATTACTCGATCTTGGAACCACTCTATGAGTAAAAGGAAATTATTTGATCTATCTAACATTGAATGATCAAAGTACTAAATGAATTAATAATCAAAATTTACACTTCTTAATGTTCAAATCAGTTATCAATTGGAATGTAAAATTGTTGATTTGACATTTTTAAATTAAATTCTAGATTAAAGGTAGCCATCCTTCTCTAACTGGGGTACATGTGAGTCAGAGTGAAGGGGACAGGGGACGTAGTGACGATGGTAGGTGACTATAATATTTGGTACAAGCCAGGACACTTTGGAGAGTGAAAGGAGATGGCATTTATAATGACTCCAGGAAAGCAAGCATAAACCAAGACTGTCTGGCTGTTAGGGCATAAATTCACCCAAGCCTGTGGGGAAATAGTCATGGACCACTTGTGTGAAGCCATAAAATAATGAATTACCCTGAAGCAACAATTACTAGGAATAAAAATATTGGTAGGGCAAAAAACATTATTTTTATGCTAAAGCAGACAAACATATACAACAGAATGAAAAATTCATATGAATGTAGTTTTATTTTTTTAACAGCTTTATTTAATTATAATTCATATAGCACTCATTTAACATATACAATTTGATGACTTTTGTATATATTTGCCGGGTTGTGTAACCATTATCATAATCTAATTTCAGGACATTTTCTGTTTTTTATCCTCACCTGAGGATATTTTCCTGTTTATCTTCAAATAGAGAGAGAGGGAGAGAAAGAGAGAAAGAGAGAAACATCGATGTGAGGGGGACAGATCAACTGGTCACCTCCACACAACTCTGACCAGGTCTGGGGACGAACCACAGCGAAGGCATGTGCCCTTGACCGGAATCGAAATCACGACTCATTGGTCCATGGGCCGACACTTCGCCACTGAGCCAAACTGGCGCGGACTAATTTCAGGAATCTCAGGGCTAAAAGAAACCCTGTACTCATTAACAGTCACGCCCTGGCCGGTTTGGCTCAGCGGTTAGAGTGTCAACCTGGTCCAGAGAGACCCAGGTTCGGTTCCCGTAAAGGGCTCGTACCTCGGTTGCAGTTTGTCCCCAGCCCTGGTTGGGTCGTGCAGGTGGCAGTCACTCAATGTGTCCCTTTCACGTTGACCTCTCTCTCTCTCTCTCTCTCTCTCCTCCCCCACACACACTCTATCTGAACAAAAAAACAGAAAATGTCCTCAGGTGAGGATAAAAACAAACAAAAAAGTCACTTCCCATCTCCTCCCAAACTCTTCTAAACTAGGCAACTGCCAATCTGCTTTCTGTTTATAGATTTGCCTATTCAAGACATTTCATATAAATGGAATCACACAATATGTGGCCTTTGTGCGTGGCTTCTTTCTCTTATGTCCACCCATGTTGTAGCATATATCAATACTTCACTCTTTTTAATGGCTGAATAGGATTCCATTGTATGTATACACATACCACATTTTGTGTATTGACTGCTAGCTGATGCACATTTGGGTTGTTTCCACTTACTGGCTATTATGAATGATACTTCTATGAATATTTGTCACATGACGTTTTTCATATTTTTAAACATTTTATTTTTCAATTACAATTTACATGCAATATTATTTTACATTAGTTTCAGGTATAGCATAGTGGTTAGACAATTATATACATTACAAAGTGTTTGCCATGGTATTTCCAGTACCTACCTGGTACCAAATGTGGTTATTACAATATCATTGACTGTATTCCCTATGCTGTACTTCACATCCCTGCCACTATTCTGTAACTACCAGTTTGTATATCTCAATCCCTTCACCTTTTTGTACCCAGTCCCCTAACTCCCCTGCCTTCTGGCAATTTTCAGTCTGTTCTCTGTATTATGAGTCTGTTTCTATTTTGTTTGTTTGTTTATATTGTTCTTTAGATTCCACATATAAGTAAAATCATATGGTATTTGTCTTTCTCTGACTGACATATTTCACTTAGCATAATACCTTCTAGGTCTATCCATGTTGTTGCAAATGGTAAGATTTCATTCTTTTTATGGCCGAGTAATATTCCATTTTATATTACACATGGATTTTTAATACAAAACTTGAGACTCATGCTTTCTCCTGGTACTTCTGGCTATGCTGTCTGAATTTAGCAGTTCACTCTCCTGTGATATTAAAAATACATTGGTAAGAAAAGTTGGGAAGTGCTTTGTAAGAATGATGTCCCCATCATCATACTGACTCTCTCAGTTGGGAAGTTACATGTTCTCTCTCTAGATAGAAATATAAATAAGGATATAGATATGAATATGGATATAAATATAGATATAGGTGATATAGAGATATAGCTATCTACATACCTGCACACACATATATATGCATACATATATATAATTTACTTATGTATTTATTATTGGTGTTCAGGTGCTAAGAATTAAATTGGCTTATGGCCTTCTTGTTGATTTGCCCATGAATACACTACCCAACCCAACAGCATATATTTACTCTTATGTTCTTCCTTTATCCCATCCTCTTGCCTCCTTCCTGGAGCAACTTTTGTCCTATGTGTTGTGTTTACCATTGCCTTCCTTTTAGTTTTTAATCACACTCATATGTTTATATTTTAACTGTTTTTCTGTTCTTGCTATTAGTATCAGGTATGAATAAAGATACATTTGTGAAGGAGTCACACTTCCTGGATGGCATGTGTGTAAATGTTGCCAAGTCACCTCCAGTATGCCAACACAGGGTTGCTTTAATGTGTTAAGGATGTTAAATAGAGTCAGAAGTATGAAATAGTGTTCCAGACAGGGCCTGAGAGTTCTTTGGCATTATGTATTATTTCATAGTACTATAGCTAAATGATAAAATTCTAACCTGCCGTCATCCCCAAATCATTTTTTATTTGTCTTATGATTTGGAATTCACAAAATGTAAACATTTTGAAGATGTAAACAATAGTTTTTTAAAATGTAAAGTTGAATTTTCATTTTGTGATCATTGATGTTACAGTCATTATTTGACATCCATCTGTATTTATATTTGCATACTTAGAAACAAACTCTGAAGTAATTATTTAATACTTGTCTGCAATACTATTTTATAATTTTTAAAAAATTCCCATTTTTGAGTCTTTTTATTACATCCTTTGGATAGTGAAATTTTTAAAAACCTGGTTGTAGTTTTACAGTTTAGTATGCTCCCAGATAAGTATTGATAAATCTTTACCAATGTTTATTTTTATTCAGAATATTTTACTTTTATTAATGGCGTAAACCTTATTGCAGTCCTTCAAACTTGTCTCGTTCCTCCCTTAGTACCCTTGCCTTCTAGTTGCCAGAAAAATCAAGGCCATTTCATTAAACTGCTCTCAAGCTTATTTTTCTTTCCTTCTTTCATTTTTAATTCATTAAAGCTATGTTCTTTACCTTGCCAAGATGAATTAATTCATTTACTAATCAGATGTTTATTGAGTGACTATGATTGCATAATCTTTAGCTGTGCATTTATCCTATCTCCTCCCATTGGGGACACTGTTTCTTTACCTTTCTATTTGACATTTTCAGAAATATTTCCTTTCATAGGCTTCTTCCCTCATGTTTTCAAACCTGTGTTTCCTAAGGTATCCTCTGTTCTCAGAATGGAAATACTACTAATGATAATTTGAGCTTTTACCCTCCCAAGTAACTGCCTTTATTTGTAGCTATCAAACTTCATCAGCTTGAATACTTGCTCATTGTTCTAAACATCTTACTCCATGCTCATTAAGGTCATGCACTTCACTTCTTTTTCATTTTCCACTAGGTGATTGCATGTGAACAACAATTGGATACCACTTATGATGCCCGGTGTGATACATGGTCCCTGGGGATCACAGCCATCGAGCTGGGAGATGGAGATCCTCCACTGGCCGACCTGCATCCCATGCGAGCCCTCTTCAAAATACCGAGGTCAGTGGGTTCTAACACTGGATCCAGGGTCTGCAGCCCCCGTTCCTTCCTCCAGCCACTGAGTGCCCCTCTTGGAAATACTCAGATATATTTCAGCAAGTTGGGGACAGAATGGCCTGGAATATCATTCTGCTGCTTCTGAGATATTGTATTTGTTCAATAGCTTTATTTTCTTGGTCTACTTAAGTAGAAGAGTTTTCTCGTGATACTTAATATGTCTTTTTTTCTTTTGTGAGCCTTTGATCTCGGAAAACAGCAGTTCCTTCCGGTCTTTATTCACTCCCAAATCAGTGCGGCACACTGGTCCATCAACGCAGCAGTGATTTGCTTTGCTTCACTCTGTCGATGTAGTAATTTTTACTGCTTGCTAAGACTTCTCTTTGTTTACAACTTTAAAATAACATTAAGAAAATTATAAATAAAATGTATTGATAAAATAGTAATTATTTAAAATAGGTTAATGTTTTGAATATATTAACATCAAACAGTAACCCTAGAAGAAAAATCTCTTTGGAGCATAAAAGCACATTCCTGTAGCCCATCCTCTTCACTGTGCATGTTGACAGCCTCTCCCCTGCTCTTTCTAGTACTAATGAAACACTATGTTATGTGTTTTGGTTAGTTCCTAGATAGTTCAGAAAACTGACATGAAAAAACTTCCTATTTTTATTATTGATATGTTATCTTCTGAAGACTTTCTTAAGGATTTTACCCAGTGCCTTAATTCTAATGGAATGAACATGGAGAGAGAGGTCTGTGGTTGACAGGGGTCCAGGGCAGAGTGGTAGGTGGTATGTTACAGTTTGTTACCACGTTCTCCATTAAATTCTATAGTCCCAACATGTATAGAATATATAATCATATGCACAAAGTCTGGGGGGGGGGGTAGTTATCCAGTCCTAAGAATTAATGCCAACATTTTATATTCATTTCCAAATGGATCCCTTTGGAATATTTAGCGTGTAATTAAAGTAGTATAAGACCAAAGCATTTGATTTTGTTTGTAATTTTACTTTTGAATTTCCTGTATTGTCTATATGTTCTGAATTATAACACATAACGATGTCAATGTATTTTTTAGGTCTTATTGTTTGTAAAATAGACTGCTTCTTTGGTAAGTGGGGAAACAAGATTACAGATAAGAATAGAAACCCGACTCTACACCATGTCTAAGATATTTCATTAAATTTGAGGAAAACAGAAAAAAAAGATACATTTTCTAACTCCTCTATGTAACATGAAGTACTGTATTTCCTGACCCATTTTAATTGTGGTTTCAATGACCACAGCCCAATGTCACTAGTTTTGGTGCTGATGCTGCATGGAGGCTGATACACTGTTGATACACTTTGTGCCTCTGCACTTATGGAAACTACCTCATCTTAGTTATTTCTTACTACTTTCACCAGTATGTCTCTAAAATGGAATTCAAAGGATTCCTACTGACTCTAGAAGCATTATTAAAAAAAAGGATCTGAAAAGCTATCCAGTTCTAAGTGCTCTAAAATCATCAAAACTTTGTTATCCTCAGAGCAAGCCAATATATCTCTTAGAAAGGAAATTTTCAGAGGACAAAAAACAAAGCAAGATTGTTGGAGGAAAGAATTACTTCTTTTAATGTGCAAATCAGCAATCTCCAAATAGTCCTAAGGATTGTAAAATGAGCTTTAGGGGTGAGCCAGGGTAGATGAGTAGCTGCACTTTTCTTTAATCAGACTGTACATTCATTTCATTATAAGCTATTTAAGGAGTAATGTGGGACTGAAGACAGAATGTTTCCATTCCACTAATGAAAACAAAGAGCTGTTAAAATTAACATTAAGCGGTACTTCAGCAAATGCAACTCTCATGGTTGATCAATGTTGCTTGATTAGAGTTAGCTCAGCCTCATTTTCAAGTAATGTTCCTTTGTATTCGTGAACATGTCGAAGAAGAAAAGATTTGTTCAGCTTTAAAATGAAAGGAATTAATAACAAAATCTTTTAAGTGGCTTTCAGAGCTTCATAGCTCATCATATTTTTCAGTCCCCTACTTTCGTGGCCTTATGTCCAGCCACACACTCAATAACAACAGAACAACTCGTGAAGGCGTTGTCCTATGCCTGTCTCTGCTGCATTGTCCTCTGTCTTCTGAGTAACTCCTTTCAGGTCACCTCTGTACCCTGGATGTCTCTCAGAGACTCTTGCAGGACTCAAAAAACATCAAAAAAATATTTTTCCTAGTGTTTTCTTGTTTCTGTTCTGCTTGGTATTGACATTTTCCCCAAGGGCTCTCAGGTAAAAGCAAGAAGATTCTTTAAAAGAAAAAAGTTATCAGTTAGAAAAATTGGGCCATCGATTAAATGCTTTCAGAGAAACAAGAAACCTGTCATTTTATATAAAGAATGATTAATAATTCATTATCTGCCTTTGGATTGGAAAATGATGATAATGCTTGTTTTACCTGGCGGGACCAGTGAGGGCAGTACTGCGTTAGTCTGTCCGGTTCCGCCCCTGATTCTGCACGGACTGACCCATGTCTACGATCCAACTTTGATTCTTATTTTTCTAGGAATCCACCCCCCAGACTAAGGCAGCCTGAGATCTGGTCAGCAGAGTTCAATGATTTCATTAGCAAGTGAGTAACAAAAAAGTTGTTTCTAAAAAAAAAAAATCAAAGAAATGCCATCTTGCTAACTTTGAAATGTGCCTTTTAGAACAAGTCCTTCCTGCTTCGAATCTCCTTCTTACTTTTTATCTATTGAATAACCCCAGAGGTTTCCATTATTTGCCTCAAAACAAGCATTTGTTTTGTCTTGTGACTGTTCAGTGGATTCACTGTTGCCAAACAATGACCTTAGGGTCCTGTTTATTCACTGATTGATAGTGATGCTTATACCACATTTTATCATCCAGTAGCACATTCTTCTGTGCACCTGCCTTTAGCAACTTTGCCCTCAGCTTTTCCCACCCACTCACTCACCATCTAGTTAGTCTGTTATTTAACCCGTTGTTTATTTTTATCATTAATTCTCACCACAATCAGGGAAGATTGCAGTTGGTGAATCACATAACCATATAGATAAATTGCTTACACATTTGAAATCAGTGGACTTTTTAATTTGCTGGATATTTAGCTCAGGTGCAGTGCCCTCAGACAACTGACTAGAAGCTATGAGTCCAGTCACTTCTAAATGTCTGTCCCACAGACATTTTTCCCCACTATTTTTGACTTCACCTGAAAAAATAATGGTGAGGGATGCCCCCAGGTTGTAAATGAGAGGGCTCATTAAGATTTGGTATCAAACTCCACTCAGAAAATGCAGAAAGGGCAAAGAAAGTAGAGGAATCAGTCATACCCATACATAAGTGCTATCACTGGTCTTTATACCAAGAATATCTGCTTAGTCTTACAAAGCCAGGAGGCATAGATTTAAGGGTTCTGGAAACCCAAAAAGGATTGATAACCATTTTTATTTTATTATTTATTTTATTTTATTTTTTTTAGTTTTCACTTAACCAGTCATTACTGAGTATGTGCTACGCACTAGACAATATTTAATAAACTGCAATCCAATTTCACAGATCCCTTAGGAGAATCTTTGGACTTGGAAGGTCTCCCAGTGATTCATAATTAGGCCCCATGTTTGCAGGTCCTTCCACGCAGATCCTCAGTGGAACCTGGTGACTTTGGACCTATTTTACATAACGTCACCTCTGAGAAACATTCACTAGTTTTCCTCCAGGCAGTCAGTATTCTGTTCTGTGTGCTGTCATTGTACTGTGTTCGTCTTCCTCTAATAACATTGCCACTTTTATTTAGCTACCTTCTTAGAGGTCTCTCTCCCTCACTAGACAGGAAGTGACTCCAGGGCACTGCATGTGCCTTACTTGTCCCTGTCACTCCAGTGTCCTAGCAAAGTGCCTGGTACACAGCAGATACTTGAGGGAGTTATGTACTTGAATAAAATAATTTTATATATGAGTAAAGTCAATACACAGAATACAAGCGCCACAGATGTCGGAAATTGACACAGTCTGTTAAACTAAATGAAAACTGAGAGCTCCTGTTATTACTTTCAGATGTCACCATCCTTATTCTTTAGCATATTTTATCATACCTGGGAAATATCTTTTTGGTTAAGCCCAATAAAATAAATTGCCAAATTACCATTTCAGGAGGATTAACAATGCAGATTAGAAATGGCACTGCTCATGTCGAGGCATAGGTTCCTTTTTCTCTTTTTCTGTATCCCCAATGACAGCCCAACTCTGACCAGCTATCTCATGATCACAGATCCTCAGAATCACAGGGCTGGAATGGTATTGTAAATTTATATTATATAGCCCAAATTTATATTCAGAGTGTAAATCCTTCTCAAACATGCCCACTGAGTAGTCATCCAATCAGTAAACACCTCCAATAAAAATAATCATATTTGGCCCTGGCCAGTTTGGCTCAGCGGTTAGAGCGTCGGCCTGCGGTCCGGAGAGACCCGGGTTCGGTTCCCGCTAAGGGCATGTACCTCGGTTGCAGTTTGTCCCCGGCCCTGGTTGGTCGTGCGGGTGGCAGCCACTCGATGTGTCCCTTCACGTCGATGTTTCTCTCTCTCTCTCCCTTCCTCTCTCTCCCTCCCACTCTATCTGTACAAAAAATGGAAAAATATCCTCGGGTGAGGATAAAAAAATAAAAATAAAAATAAATAATCATATTTGCCCTGGCCAGTTTGGCTCAGCAGTTAGAGTGTAGGCCTGCGAACCAAAGAGTAGTGGGTTCAGTTCTGGTCAAGGGCAAGTACCTCGGTTGCAGTTCAATCCCTGGCCCTGGTTGGGGTCCTCTCTCACATCAGTGTTTCTCTCTCTCCCCCCTCACAATCTGTCTGAAGATGGATGGAAAAATATCCACAGGTGGGGACTAAAATAATAATAATAATAATACTTCACAAATTGGCTCAGTCTATCTTTGGGAAACCTCACTGTTGAAAGTTTTTCCTTATATAGACCTTAAGTCTGTTTCTCTCTTAATTCCCCCAATCCGGGTTAGGTTTTCTGTCCCCTGCAGTCGCTGAGAGCTGTCCAACCCCTCTCCCAAGCACCTGCAGACAGCAATCCCAGCTGGCTGAACGTCCTGTTGGTCCCAGCGCTCCCCCGGTGATGCTGCTCCAGGTGCTCTCACTCCCCCTCCTTCCTCGTGACTCTGCTCTGACGAACCTCCAGAAGTGCGGCCTGCACCTGCATCTACTGCATCACCTCAGGAAACATCCGCTGACGCGGAGTTTTAAACATCCTCAATGTGTTAGCCCTCTCAGATGGGTTAGAGTTTTATCACGTAGAAAGAACTAGATCAATGAGAAGCCTTTAAAAGCATTAGTGAAAGGAAACTGAAGAGTTCATTTTAATTTCAGATAAGCATTAAAACAGCAATGACTTCACTGTTGTTTATTATTAACTAGTGACATATAAAGGAATCTTTGAAGTGGAGACCGGGTTTGATTATCACTGTGCAGTAACACTTGCTAGGAGACTGGGGAAGTAGGATTTATTTATTTATTATTTAAAAAAATATTTTATTAGATGAACCAAAGAACTTATATGCATAACCAATGGACATAGACAACAATGCTGGGGGCAGGGGGGCGGGGGGGGTAGGGAGGAGAGAATCTGAGGGGGGGAAGGAAAAACATCTGGAACAAAAATAAGTTAATAAAAATTGGAGAAAAATCAAATTTTTTAAGTTGATTTTTTAGAGAGAGACGAAGGGAGATAGAGATAGAAACATGGATGTAAGAGAGAAACAATGAGAGGCTGCCTCCTGCACGCCCCCTCCTGGGGATCGAGCCCACAACCCAGGCATGTGCCCTGACCAGGAATTGAATCGGGACCTCTCAGTCCATGGGACCATGCTCAGTCCACTGAGCCACACCGACCGGGCAGGGGGAGTAGGATTTAGATAGAAGTTGGTAGCACCACAGCATAATCATAGACATGTGCACTTTCATAAACACTCATTTTGTCATATTGCAGCTTGACATTTTTTGAGGTGTTTCTGGGGTGGAGTGATTATGAGGAGCATTGTTTTCTTAAGTTAGAGTAGTTTCAGGGATATGAACCATAATTTATATAGCTTACCTAGTAATCACATGCTCTTTTTTGCCAGTGCAGGTGCTTAACTAAAGATTATGAAAAACGTCCAACAGTGTCAGATCTTCTGCAGCACAAATTCATCACTCAAATCGAGGGCAAAGATGTGATGTTACAAAAACAGCTCATGGAATTCATTGACAATTATCAATGCATGGGAGGTGCAGAAAAGGCCAGGTAATCAAATAATATCTTGTTTCAAAAGCTCAAGGATCATCTAAAGACTCTGAACAATTTTACAATGAAGTAGTTGTTAAGGTGAGAAAATAACTCATTTAAATTCCCTGGTTGTGGTTTGGAGATAAGGGGCACTTATATGAAAGGCAATTGTCACATGTTGAGTTGTATCCAAAATTGCTAAAATTACTGGCGGCATTTTTACAAAAACTTCGTCAAAACAAAGGACGTAAACTTCAATTGGTGATTAGTATTGGTGTAAATTTTCATGTACTTTCTGCTCCTCTATAAAGTACAATCTCTTAGAATTGAGATTTAAGAAGGAACATAAAACTTGAAAGACTTTTTGACACTATTGTTGGTATCATTTTCCCTGGATGAATTATATTTAAAATAATATTGTACCTGATACTAACTTTTGAAATTGAGTTGAGATACACACCTGACAGGATACTTAAAAAGAAAAAGAAAGGAAATCACAATTCAGTTTTAAAGAAGACCATTCTACTGTAAATTTGATGGAAATTGAGTGCTTTACATTTCCAGGCGATGGGGAGGAGGTGGTTGGAAGGCACTGTTGAATGCACACAAGAACTTTCTGTTTAAGTCAAGGCCTGAGTAGAACAAGTCACTCGCCACTCCCTCAGCAGATCCTCGGACTGAAATGTACACGCACACAGCCCCTGCTTCCATGACATGCTCTTCAGAGGGGTAAAGCACAGTGTGAGAGTAGAGGCTGAATCAGGGAGACATTTAAATGATAAAATATTTTAAAAGAAAAGCCTAATTCCTGTTTTGGCATTTTAAAATATTCGGATTTCAGGGGGATGGATAAAAGTCATTTGTAATTAAAGTGTACTCTTCAGCATTCTCGACTGCAAACAATACAAGCTAACTTAAGAAGAAAAGCAAGTTCGTGGAAAAGAGTGGATGTCTGAGCACTGAGAAGGCCGAGAGCCAGGCCTCTGCATCAAGCTAAGGAAGCCGAGGTCTGCAAATACCCTTCCTTCCTCAAGAACCACCGATGATACCCGCCCTCCACCCCACATTTCCTGCAGCGACACTGGTATCTTGAATGCCACAGCCGCCTCAGAATGTCGGTGGAGGTCTGTCACTCCCTGGACATTCTGAGGCCCATACGGGACCATCTGACCCCCATGGTGTGGGTGAGAAGGTGCACTGAGAAACCCGGTCCTCCCTCACTTCCCGTTTCTATCTGGGAGGCAGAATCCTTCCTCACAACCATCTGGGAACTCCACCCCCCTGTGCCCCCCACCCCATGCAGAAGAAAATAATTGAGCTGCTGAAACCATGAATATCCATTATGTGGAATATGGAAACATGTTCCCCCTTGTCCCAGCATGTATGATTTTTAAACCAGGATATAAGGCAACTTTGACACATTTCTTAAAGGATTAACAAATGAAAGACAAGCTAAAAAACTGTGTATCCATCCAATGCTAAAATGCCTGAGTCAAGCTGTCAGTTCTTTAGTTAGGTGCAGGACTTTATGTAATGGAAATTCGCTTGTGTGGGATTTTGATTTTACAAAAAAGAAAAAGAAAGGAGAAAGCAGAAAAATCAATTGTAAGTAATAATAAGGTTCTTTCGGTGCAGTTCAATGCGTGGCTCCATTTTACTTTCTATTTTCTGAGCAAGATAATTTTTCTCTAGTGGCTGTGACCATGTCATGGTGAGAATTATTCACTCTTTGGAACATTTACTCCCCCTTTCCCTTAATACATGGGATTTCTAAAATGCTGTTCTGGCCGCTCTTATAACAAACATCCTTTTGATTTCCGCCTCCACTTCAATATCAACTATTTCAGAGATACTTCAAACTCAACATGTCCTAAATTGGACTTATGGTGCCCCACCCAAAATTAGTTCTTTGTGTCCTGTCATTAATGGTACCACCACTCATCCCATTATACAAACCAAGGATCTAGGCTTTATCTTGACCTAGTCTTCTCTCCTACTTTCTGTTTCTAGTCCATAGGAAGACTAAATGTTTACACCCCCACTCAACGCAGTAGCAATTGTGAGCTAACCCTTGCTATCACAGAAGCCATGGATTGAGTCAGTACATCCGTGTTGTCTCCATACTTACTGAGACCACTGTGCAAGGCTCTGGGTGAGTTGCTGCCCAGGGCTCTAACAGCTGAAGCAGCGATAGAATCTGCTCTGGGGGTTTACTTTTTTAGTAAAAGGTGCAAGACAAGCATGTAAATGACCATTACACAAAGTAAGAACTTTCAGTCCCACGAAAGGAATACAAACAATGTCCTATGAAATTTCAGAAGTGGAGATGATTTCTTCTAATAGGTGAGCTCATCCGGAAAGCAGCCTTTGAATCAGCACAGCAACGAACAAACAGGGCTTAATCACGTGAGATAGCGTTACCACCAGACGAACATTACTGCTGGAAAGAATGGCCTGAAAAAAATCATAAAAACAAGAAGATATACTCACGGAAAGGCAAGCATTTAATCAAGTTGCAAGGGGAAACTCAGAAATAGAATTGGAGAGATCAGACCACAGAGAGCACTGGAAATCAGGCTGAGAGGTTTGACCGGATTCCTTGACAGCCTACACTAGAGAGCACCCCCAAGACACCTGTGCCCTATTGTACCATCCTTTTACGGTTTCTAGCAGGTAAGCTGTGGATACAGCAAGACACACTACAGCAATAATGTTGGATGCATTATGCAGTTTTTCCTCCTAACTTTGAGCCATTGTATATTTTTAAATACGATATTTTCAAATTGGTGGGGGAAGTTGGTGCCCATGTTTAATTATAAGGCAGTTAGTGACTGGTTTTTAGATATTTTGAGATGAGGAATCTATTGTTATATTGATTTATTTTTACATTTTTGTGGGATGTTTTTATTGTTTGGTGTGTGTGTGTGTGTGTGTGTGTGTGTGTATGTACTTATATTTTAAGTAAATTTTATTTTGGAAAATGCCAATCTTATCTTGTCCTAAACAAGGGGGTAAAGGGACTGTCCATATGAAATCTAGGAGAAAGGGTCTCCGGTAAGCACGAATTAAGGCAGTTGTCTAAGAGAACTCAGAAAAAGACAGATGAAGCTAGGGGAATATAGTGAGGGCCCATCTAGGACCAGAATATTAAGAAATGATACCTTATTTTTGCCCACCTGAAGTGTTGCTTTATGCCTTTCTTCTCTACTTCCTCTTCTGGAAAAGCTCCCAAAGAAGAGCTAAATAACTTTATAAGACAGTCTCTTGTCTTGGAGCAATTTTATAAGGAATAGGTGATTGAATAAGCACTCCCTGGGGAAGATCATTAATGTGTATCTGTGCTCCTAAGTACAGTAAATAAAGGGATTCAAATATAACCAGGAAGAGGCAGTTGCTAAAATGTGCTAAGTTGTAAATAATTCCTAGGAGTAAGTTATGTCGATACTTAAAACAATAAAAGCAGAGTAAAGAACCATTACGTTCGTACAACTTGCCATCTGTGTCAACTCACATAACTGGAGGAAACTGAGACCAAGAGGAACACAGACCTGTGCAGAGGGTCATGTCATGTCCAGAAATATAGGGGCCGGACCCATTTGTCCTAGTACTTAGTTCAGTTCCTATCTGTATCATGCTGTCTTCCCTTTTCATCCAAAGAATAATCATAAAATTATAGACTGTCATTGCTGGAAGGGAACGTTTCTTCTGGTTCTTTCCTTATTTAGAGATCAGAAAACTAAAGCCAGTGAAATTGAATCTTGACAATTTTAAAGCCAGTTAATTGTCAGCCCTGGGCTGTAACTCAAATGCTCTAATTTTCAGACCAGCACTCTCTCTGGTTTCTGTGTCCTCACTAGCGGTGGAAGTTTGTGTTCACAAAACTGATGATATGAAGAGTTTTTGTTGGACTTTTTGGGGCTTCTTTGTATAATTTACTCGTAATGGGCATTTGAACTTAAATTTTAACCAATTTCCTTGCAATTTGGATTACTGAGCAGTATATTCAAAGGTCAAAGAAACCTTTGCTCATGTTTTCCCAAATATATATATATTTGAGTTGAGAGGATACAATGTGGAAACAACTAGATTAAAATGGCAATCTAGCCCTGGCCAATTTGGCTCAGCGGTTAGAGCATCGGCCTGCAATCCAGAGTGACCAGGGTTTGGTTTCCACTAAGGGAGCGTACCTCAGTTGCATTTTGTCCCTAGCCCTGGTTGGTTGTGCGGGTGGCAGCCACTCGATGTGTCCCTTTCACGTGGATGTTTCTCTCTCTCTCTCACTTCCTCTCTCTCTCCCTCCCTCTCTGTCTGAACAAAAAATGGAAAAATGTCCTCGGGTGAGGATAAAAAATATAAAAATAAAAATAAAATGGCAATCTGATTTACAGCGTCCTTGAACTGTTTGGAAAATAATCATTTAGGAACTAGATTTTAATGACTACTTGACATGAGTTGATGATCATCAACATTGTGATCTTTCATTTCTTTTGTAAAGATCCCTTATCTCTGCTTTCAGTTTAAGGATTTGCATTTTTAAATTAGTAACCAAGTTATCAGCAGGGACCAATAAAATTACATTAATCAAAAATAGCCTTAATTCTGTTTTCTCTGCTAATTACTACTTGAATTTATACCATAGTCAGAGACTTTGCTTAACATGTTACTTTGTGTGTTCCATGGTATTTAGTTTTCCATCCTTAGTTTCATTTAGGTCTAAAATGGTAAGTCCTCAGTGACTGCCAGTATGTGTCCCTGATGACAGTATGTGAGCCTGTGATGAGCAACTGGTCCATCTCTTCCCATGCGCCCACACTCGAGCCACCAGGCCCCGTGCTGGTTGCTGAACCTACCATGCATTCTCATTCCTCTTCATTCTGGCTCATGCAATATTCTGTCCTTGTAATCGCCCTTCTTCATTAGCTTCTTGAAAATAAATTTCAGAACCATATCTTCAAATGTCATCACCCTTAATAAGCTTTTCTTCCAATCCCCAAGTATACATTTGCATATTTTTTCAC